AACACAGCCACGATTAAAAAAAATAAAAGAATATACGGAGAGAACGAACGTACTTTAATATTATGTGGCGAAATAGATTTGCCTAAAAACATTTTTTTAAAAAGTGCAGAGAAATTTATGGACAAAGAGAGAACGCATACGACACATATATAAAAATAAAATAAAAGACTATCAGGTTTTAGAAAATATACAGCAATAAGTTGCTTGAGAGCAAAAGAAGGTAAAATATTATTGGACAAAGAAAAGTAATTACAAGATAGACAGAGTATATAAAAGAGCTATACACTGATAACAGCAGACCAGACATGGAGAGTCGTGAGTGTTTAGAAGGACCGCCAATACTGAAAGCGGAAATAGAAGATGCTATAAATCACTTACCTCCACGCGGTAGAGGACAGTAAACACACTGCGGTGTGGCCAACGCAGCTATGGGGACCGAGTATCCACCGGAATAAGCGGACACCTCTGAGGTGCCCTCTGCTGTTAGCAGGAGCATCACAGGGCAGGGCACTTGCCCTAGCAATCGAAAAGGTTGCTGAAGGATGAGGATGTAGTCTAAAGCCATGTGGATGTGGAAAGCAACGGGAAACTACCACATTACTATCCCAAGAAACTCATCATGGAAGCCAAAAATGAAACTCAAAGACCTGATGGTGAGGCCCCCAGGCTAGGCAGATCACAAACGCTAATTGGGGAAGAGAACGATGGCAGAGCTAGTAAGGGTAGTTGTGATGACGGCCTTAAGTCCGACGGTCCTACAACAGAAAACTCTGTCACCGCTCTAAAGAAAACTTTAAAGTTAGTAACATGGAATGTTAGAAGCATGTATCAGGGAAAACTTAGCATCGTTGGCAGAGAACTAGAAAGGAATAAAATAGATATACTAGGAATTTCTGAACATAGATGGGCTGGTCAAGGCCATTTTGTTACGGAAGCTGAAATATTTGGGTCATATCAAAGCGCATGACGGATTAGGAGAACTGGCGAGAGGAGGGCAGGGCCGACCCGACACGAAGAAGGGCAGAGGATATAGGTTCTTGAGTATTTCAGGCAGACTGCGAGAGAACCGAGTTCTTTTCAGCGACGTTCTGTGATGCAAAGGACCTGCTAAATGATGATGATGATAAATCACTTAAAGAAATATAAATCTCTAGGACAAGATGGCATCATGATTGAAGAATTAAAATATTATGAAAAATATCATGAGAAGAATAATGTGCAAAAGTAAACTTAAATCTTTTCTATCAACAAGAAGCAGCCATAAGGATTGACAACCAATTTCTAACTTTTCAAAATACTAAACAGGGCATGGCGTTGTCTGTGCCTTTACCTTCAACAACATGGAATGCTAGAAATGTCGGTTGGCGGGCATATTGTTGACAACCTGCAATGTGCTGACGATATAGTTGTGATAGATGAAAGTGAAACGCAACTACAAGAAATGATGCATATATTTACAACAGTAAGTGATAACATGGTTCTTAATTTGAACAAAGAAAAACACAGAAAAATGGTAATCACAAAGACCACTGACCCTTCTAAATGCAACACTTTAAAAAGTGGGACAAATGTCAAGCAAGTTGATGATTAAGTACTTAGGTACCCTCATAATATCAGACTGAAGATTTATTTAAAAAGTTAAATGTAGAATAGCTCAAGCAAAGGCAGCAATTCTTTTAAAAAGTAAGCATATATTTATATTATGCAATCTTTCTGTATTAATTGAGACGAGAAAGGGAATTCTTAAAAGCTAAGTAAATCCTATCTTGAAATACGGAAGTGAATTATGGACGGTTTGTAGATTTGTGAAAAATTATTTGGAAGCTGCCGAAATGAGTTCTAGACGAATTTTGAGAATACTCTGGTCAGATAAAAAAGAGTAATGAAGATGACTTGAAAGAAACTGACTCACAAAAAGAACTGATTGCCTACATCAGAAAGAGACAATCTACATTCGATGATCACGTGATAAGAAGTAGAAAAACTGAAGTGCATCTTGACAGTAGGAAAGTTAGAGGGAAGAAGAGGTGGAGGGAGACCGAAAGAAAAGATGCTGGACAGTTTGACATCATTGCATGAAGGATCATCAGTGTCAGAGATGACTAAAAGTACAAGAGACAGAAGGTTGTGGTTAGACATAACTATCAATGCCACACGGCATGAACTTTAAGAGGAAGACAAATCCTCTTACTTTAAACTCATTTTAACACAAATGGATACTTGACACAATGATTGAGGAAAACAATAATAATAATAGATATACCCATTCAATACTCTCTTTAAAATTGTGATAATAGGTAATCGTAAACATCACCTAATTGTAAATATTTGGAAAAAACATTCTTGAATACCCTCTTACAAACTGTGATAACGTGTTATCGTTGTGAAATTTTAACTTTGAACTTTTATTCGTACAGACAATTACCTGACAAAGATAGTTGTGAAATAACCTCACTGAATACCATTTAACTAATTATGATAGTAGGTCAACGTTGACGATATGATAACTTTAAAACGCATATTCGCCCGTACAGTGTAGTAATTTGATGGTAATGTCACTGTTTTGAGATAAGTATACTATTTTAAAATATTGCCCGAGCGAAAAGAGAGTGCAATTTTATTCTAGTTACACCGTTCACACATGACATTTCAGTGTCTGTCTAACTATACATGAATTTAATTTACAAACATTTTTACATTGTGATTCAACGATTCTAAGACAGTGGTCGTTAAAAAAAAAAAAAAAAAATTAAAATACAATGTAGAGATTTTATATCATAGTTCAATTATACTATGTGACAACACACTTTTTAAAATTGTATGGTTAAAAATATTCAGAGCATGGTTTACGGCTGCCTAAATGACCAAGAGGAGGATAGATAAAGATATTATTTCAGACTTTGCTCATACCTCATATGTAATTCCCATATATCAGCTATGCTGACTTCATAACAGTCTATCACTGTGGCTTAGGGGTTTGGGAACAGTTTCCCAATCCAAACGTGACGGGGTTCAATATCAGTTGGAGACGATTTAGCAGCAGACTAAATTGCATTGATGTTAACAAATCTAACAAGCAACCGTTGTGACCGTTGAGTCAACCTACAGTTAGACGTCGTTAATTTATTATTTAGCACAATTTATTACCTGACATATTTTGTTTTATCTGGTCTGGCTTATTACTTTAGAGTTTCCATCAACATATAATGAAGAACAGAAAAACCAAAACAAAAATGCATCATTGGAACAGAAATTCAATGTCTCTTGTTACGCTGCATCTGATCTCAAATTTATCACATCATCATCGCATAAATTGAAAGTTAACCGCGTGATCCTTTGGTTACGTAAAGCAGAGTTACAATTTTAAGTTAGTTCGAGTGAGTTTGGACGAAAAATGCATCTTTACTAATTATTTACTAACATAATTTACAAAGGAATTATGTATACTTTGCAGTTAATTATGTCTCATTTTATATATTACGTTTGTTCAAAATATACTACCGCCACCTTCCTAATTATTTTAACACATCATATTGTCTGGGTTTTATGCGAGGTGCACACATGGTGCTCACTTGCTGGGGTATCCTGTCATATGTTCAAAATCTTAGTAGGCATTAGATTTTTTCCTTTTTATTTTTATTCGATATCTAATGTTAATACAGACTAAAATTGCTAGAAAGTTTCTGGAAAGTCAAGGCGCTCGGTGTAATACTGGGAGAATCTTTGATCGAGTGTTTAAAGTGCTATACAATTAGCAACTTATGTGTCCTTCACTGACAATGGACTAAAGCAGCTTGGCTTATATGAAAATGAGCTTAAACGGGCATTAAAGTAACTGCGCAAAGATGCTAAAATAGGTTCGAGCCAGTTGTTTACACAACGGAACGTTGTGGTGGATAGGCGTCCATAGACTCGTCCGAACTCCTAATAAAAAAAAAAATGTAAATCCCATAAGCCAAAGTTGTCCGATCAACGTCTGTCCGTGCTACTGCCAGCTGCCAAGGTCTGCCCAATTAACCAACCGCTCATTTATCACTCTCAGTGGCTAAGGCGTTGCGAGTCCGACTCGTAATCCAACGTACCGCGATCGAAACCTGCGTGGGCTGCGTGGATTTTTATCATGGTATGGCACGTCGCAGGTCGACCCAGCCTCAAATGGGTACCAGGATGGGCTGTCCTGGGAAAGTAAAGACGGCCGGCGTAATGCTGACCACATTACCCACCGAGTGCCGATTGGTCTGTAAAAGTATGGGTGCTCTTCCCATAAGCCCGATGCGCCTAAAGGCGTGTAAAGGGATCTTTACTTTTTACTTTACATTATCACTCTAGTCCTGTAGGTAGTCATTTAATTTGCTATGGCAGCGATGATTTATCACCATAACCGCAGTACATGTTGCAAATCACCATAACCGCGGTACATGTTGCAAATCACCATAAGGCCTTGTCCTATTGGCAGATAAAGCTCAGCAAGAGAGTCCGAGGCCAGACCCTCCCTTCGCCCCCCCCCCCCCACCTACCCACCGAGATGGTCTAGGACTTTGAGCGGCCTGAAACAGGTGACACTTGTGGACGATCGGTTGACTCCTCTTGTGCATGATACCGCTGTGAAGATTTTCTTATACTTAGCTCAACACAAGTGTTGAGTTTGATTGTCGCCAGACTGTGGTTAACATTGTCACTAGATTGTTGTCACTATTCAATTTTCTTCATTTACAATATAATTTCCGTCAACTGTCCCATAAAATGATTGTAGACGAGGGACCAGTTCTCTTTACGTTTATTTATTAGATCAATCTTTCCAATTTTATTTTTGGACTATCAAGTCAGGCAGGTCTACATACTCTCACCAACATTGTTTTACGTCTTCTTAGAAAAATGATGCTTTCAATTTAAAACAAATAGTGTTTTAAAAACACATCACGAGTAATCATAGAAAGATGAGAAAAAACTATTTAAATAACCAAGGAAATAATCTGACGAAACTATTTAAAATGACAGCAATGGCTAATGCAACAAATCTCCCCGTAACCAACTCTGATTTAATGACAACACAACAATTCTTCATCGTTGCGGAATCTTGTGCTATCGTTTGGGCAGCATTGTCTATATTCGGCATCATTTCCAACACTATTAATATTAAAATATTTATTATTATGGGAATGGGTGACAGCGGTACAGTTTCTTTACTAGCTCTTTCCATATTTGACTTGTTGTACAGCATAATAGCACTATGTGCAGGGGTATCTGGAATACTGGCTATGGTTGAGTTGAGATGCGGTGTCGTTTTTGCAATAGAACCCTTTGGTGTGGGAGTGATTTTTGCTAACGTCATGACTCTTATCAACGTACCCAATACCCTGGTCACGACCTTTATTGCGGTTGCCCGCTGTATGTGCGTGGCCAAACCTTTGCATTTCAGAAATATGTTCACAAGAACGAGGACAGTTATCTGCAGTATTGTATTCACCCTGTTTGCAGTGGTTGTGTATGTACCTGTTCTAACTAACATGGGGGTTGTGATGCAGTTTGACAGGAGGAGAAACATATCTAGACTCAGCTTGTGGGTATCGCACGATAGAGAATTCGTTAAAGATATTGTCTGGATGATCACTGACGTGATTTTACCTTTCACCACACAATTTATTGTTATCGTATCAGTTGTTATAATGGCAAGAGGTCTTCGTATAGCGTCCAGTTTTAGACAGTCTTATGCTTCGAATGTGGTCACAGAACCTGGAACAGACAGCAAGAAAGCGGACAACAATGCAGAGACCGAAACACTTTCGGATAACATATTATCAAGTCATACATTAACTAAGAAAGAATTTCGTGTGATCCAACAAATCATTCTAATATCGGTGGTATACATAATTTGCAACACACCCAAGATCTTGGCTAGTACCGCTGCTACTATTGAGCCACAGTACACATTTGGAGGTCGTTATAATAATATATACCTCGCTATAAACCTTCTAAGGAAACACTTTGAGATAGTTAATGCATCCGTTAACACGTTTATATACTATGCATATAACACGAAGTTTAGAAATACTTTGCATCTTTGAACCAAGCAACGTTTTAACAACACAGCGAAGATGACTTTAGTAAATTTTGCCGTTTCTAGCAGTGTTTGGATAGAGATTATACTAGGCTTTATATTATACTGACATTAGTCACGAAATGAATGTCAAATGGGAAGGGTGGCTCATAAACACGAACGTCTCCCCAAAACAGACATACTAAACGTTATATTGGTTTGGAGAATATACAGGATATGGTTTTTGGAATAGAATGTAGTGGACAATTAAATATCCGCGCTGACGATTGTTTTGGCCCGTTACCATTCCTATACAATCTCGGAAGGTCTGTTGACCTGGGTCATGACTCCCAGGCCTCGATATTCCCCTGTCGCACTTTACCGGATGTTCGAGACGATATGGTGATTTGTAACAGGGGTTGTGAGAATTATTGATATTGTCGCTACTGTAGCAAATTAGATCATTCGACTACCTCACTACCATGGTGACAAGCTTTCGGTTGGTTCATCGGAAAGGTGTTAGACCTGGCATTTAGACTCTGGCAGTCGACAGAGGGATTTTGGCAGACATTTCGGACACTTTAGCTTTCAAGGGATAAGACGTTCTTTTCCACTAAAGAGCCGGATCCAGAGCCAGCTCGAAGCTCTTTTAGCACCTTTGCCCTGTTTTCTAATAATTTATCAAAAGGCAGAAAAACTGGCAACAGACCAGTTGGCTTTCCTACAGGCCGTACTGAAATCTACGTTCTGGAAAAGATCGAGTTTTTAATTATTAAATCATCGCTTTAAATGGTTCATTCGTCCACAATTGTATTACCTATAATGAGGGAAAAAATCAGACATACATATATTGTATTTCAATCTTTTGTTTCCGCCTAACGTATAAATTGAATCCAGCCGGTGTTTTAATGCAGTATTACTATGTGCCAAACATGGACACTGTCTAAAGCCCACTTACACAAATTCACCACCTGTGTGACGTTGCCCGAGAAAAGCCACCAATCTAAACATCCCAGATCGAGTAAATATTGACTGATTGTAGGAAGGTCACCCATGTACTAGAATCATCGAGAAACAGCGGATCAAGTGGTTTGGCCATCTCGTTAGAATGCTGCAAGATCAAATACCATCACAAGCACTACATCTCAGAAGATAAGCTACAAGACCAAAAGGAGGGCCGGGATCCTCAATCGACAAAATGAAAGACACGCTACGCCTTCACGGCATGACAATAGCCAGTGACAGCTAGGGTGCACTGGATGGCAAATTTTCTTCTACACGAGGCTCGACGGCAGAAATGGTTTATTCTGATGACGATGATGATGACTATGACAAATTTAAAAAAACACAGCAACAGCACATCAGGATTATTTAAATAAAAATAAATGCGGTATTTTGTAACAATAATAGGCTTTTAAAAAAAGCAAAATAAAATATTAGTTTTAACAGAAATATAAAAACCAATTTTTGTGGCACTGGTCAAGGAGCGTTCTGTAGCTGTATGTGTGTGTGTATGCCTGTATATGATTGAGATGTAGAGGTCTCTGGTAGCGTAGTCTAAATTAAGTTTAATTTATACCAATCATGGGTCAGTTTATTTCTTCTGAAGTGCACTATAAGGCAGAAACTTGGATTTAAGGGGAAAAAAAACTATAACTAACATTCACTTTTAACAATGAAATACGACCAATCTTGAAGATGGAACCTAATAATAATCTTAAACAAATGAAATCCTACAAGGCTTCGTGTCTTGACAAAACTATAATCTTAAGAGTCAATGTTTTAAAAGAATATGAAAAACACCACATGATCAGGTTGCTAATAATCGATGCTTGGTGCTAGAATATTAGTTCACGATTTATGTAAACATATCCATTTTTATTTTTTTATTTTTATTTTTTATTTTGTAGTCATAAAGAGTGTCATGGAAGGGATACAGTCACGTGTCCTTTTCATGAGATTATATGTATAAAACCATAGACACACTGAGATAGGTTAAGATCTGAAGGTTGGCTCGGTTCCTCTAGGTTCGATTCCCTAATGTTCTACGTCCGTCAGCTATCTCAGGTATGAGGGATTCAAATTACACTTACAGGTATTCAATGAGGTTCCTGTCTGTAACTTGATCTGACGTCCTCACCACTTTCAAAATCCCCAGAATGCCAAGAATATTTAGTAGTCGAATGGTAATACTTCTATGATCAGAACAGGCATGACTATTTTACACTCAACAACTGACTCGACCATTCAAACTGTCCATAAGATTAACGAAGAGATCCATATAACTAGAACAAGAATTTGTAATTAAAGAATCACAGACGTATAGAGACGTCAAGACAAGATATAATGGGTACTCGTCAGAATGAACTCAAGGAAACATAGTTCTCCTGAAGGTTGCCACAAACATTGTTCATGTAATCCCCGCCGTATAGAGGATATAGTAATCAGCCACCATGTTTGCAGAAACCAATTAAGATCCGTATACTTATCTGTGGTGGAGATGATTCTCCCACAGGGTCTTCGTGTAGGGTTATCAGGACGTGTCCTTGACCAGAACAGAGGAAGAGTCGTTTTATCTATCAGGGAGACATAGCGAGGTGGTTCTGCGTCCCCGAGTGTGTCAATATTCGGATGACTATATTTTTATTTCCTTGAATCTATGAGTGATGTAGATATATACATACCCCAACTTCGAAGATCTCTGGACAATATGCTGAGAAGTACGATACTTCAGGCAGAGCGAACCTATTTAACTGGATGTAGCACGTGACTTGGGTAATAGACACGCCAAAGTCGACTTCAGTTTGATAATGGACAGAATTAGACAAACAGGACGACCTGGATAGACTGTTGTAAAAAATGAATGTACTGGATACGCTGGTGGATGCACTGCTTTTACTGGACGTACTGTTGAGTATATGGATATATAACCCGGTAGACGGCTAACCTGCATTTTCCTAAACATGCAGATTGGATAACAAAGTGGATCCTTCGGTCCCCCATGATGCCATAAGAAGAAACTCCACAGGGGAGCATGTACAGCAGGAGTCTACCAATCGTCAGTAGAAGAAACCTCTTGTCGACAAACGTTTCGGCCCACGAACTCCTAGACATTTTCAAAGTGGGCCCACCTGAGTTCATGAAGCTTAGGGTTGGTTTCTCCTGCTGCACGTATTACCGGATGTTATCGGACAGGGACAGGACGAATTAGTGACTTTGCAAAAGGTACTGTGAGATAAGAAGTCGTCGCGGTAGCATAAATAAAGCAGTCTGCTTACCTGGACGACCAAGTGGCAAGCTTACGTTTAATTTACCGGACACATGTTGGACTGTTGGCAGGTGGCAGAGGGACACTGGCAGACAATTCGGACACGATGGACGTTCCGTTGTGTCCAGAGCCACTCGAGACCCTCTCAGCAACATCGCCCAGTTGTTTAAGTGTTCGTTTGAGTTCATTTCCTCGTAAGCCTAGTTGTTTGATCACATTGTAAAGTGAAGTGGAAACGAGACCTCCTGCGCCTACCTCGACGGCGAAGATTATTACTGTGTACTCTTCGTCCCTCCTCAGACCAGCCGCTAAGTCACTGTCATTCTCGAGCTTATACATATGGCTTTCGTCCATTCGTGACTCATATGGCACTGTCAGCTCAATCAGAATGAGCTGACGTTTCTCCGCAGAGTGGAGAACTATGTCGGGTCGCAGGCCAGTCTTCCGGATTAACCAAGGGTACCTTTTATGACCAGGCAGGTCAATAGCCAGTAACCAGTCTAGCATCGATGGAGCGTATGCGACTTTGTTGAATTTACCTTTATCAATCTGCCCAGCCTTAAGGAAGTGTACGGGGACGACGGCAGTACTGACCCTCGCATTGGCCCCCATCCCAGCTTGGTCCAAAACGGCTGCTAACTCTTTCAGCACCTTGTTGTGGCGCCAAGTATACCTGCCTTGAGCTAGGGCTTCCCTGCACGCGGTCAGAACGTTCTCGAGCGTCTGTTTAGCTTTGCATAGCGGGCGTGTCGGGTCGTTGGTCGCACTCCAATTTACCATTTTGACACCGGACGTTAAACATCATAGGAAGATCGATCGATAAAGCTCAGTCGCAGCGGGGCCATTCGCCAGATCTCACCCCATGTGAGAACTCGTGGCAAAGCGCTCTAAAAGCTGAACCACTGGCCTTTCTGCGACTGTTGGGCCGCTTTCTGGACCTTAACCTCGTTTTCGTTGTCCCTAATCTGCTGTATCACCACGTCTCGGCGCTCTTTGGCTGTGGCTTTGGACCACCAACTGACTTTCCCGACGGTCGGTTTGTAACCCATGTCCTCCCTTAATTTTAGTGCATTCTGGGCAAATTCGATCGCATCTACGACCGTCCACTTGACGCCAGTCCTTAAAGCGGATTGGATAGCGGTGACATTTGGGTCTGAAGACGCACGCAAGAGCATGGGGTGTCTTACTTTGCCGACTTTAAACTCTTCGGTTATTGATTTGAACTGTAGTAATAGCTTCGCCTGTTTACAATATAGAGCCACATCAGTCAGACAAGGCGGTGCTCCTAACCACTTCCTCATGGCTGTGTTGATTTTTCGCTCCATCGTCTCCACTGCAGTCATCGATACTTCGTAGACTAACAGCGGCCAGAGGAGCTTTGGAATCAACATAAATTGGAGACACCAGACCTTGACCTTTCCGATCAGCCTGCTTCGCTCGATCGCGAGCAGGCCTGTAGCCAGTGACTCGTGTATTCGCCGGACTTCCTATCTGGCAGATAACTTCGAATCGTAAACGCGACCAAGGCTTTTCACTGCTTCCTCTAGAACCCTGTGGATCCGATTCCTTGCCACCGTAAAACTGGTTGCCACTACCTTACCTTTTAGGATTGACAGACTCCTCGACTTCTGCGGTTTGAATTGCATACCGCTCCATTGGACCACCTTATCCAATCTTTTCAGAATCGTGCGAGCAGTTTCCTCACTGCCCGTGATTATAGTCGTGTCATCCATAAATACACGTAGTGGCGGCATCCAGTG